CTTTCTTATCTAATAAACTAGATATTTTTTATTAATCTCTAGATATTTTTGAATTAAGTATTTAAGTTATAATCGAATTCTTCTTTTTAGACTTAGGAAATAATTTAGTTAAATTACTAGTACTTATTAGTAAAAAAAAAGAAAATACTTTTTTATTTAGGCTTAAATAGCCTTTTATATTATTTTTTATTAAATTAGTAAATATATTTATAGTTTATAAGTTCTTCTATTAGTAAGTAATAAAACTAAGAGATATAAATATATTCTAGATTAATATTATTATTCTTATTTCTATTATAATACCTATAATAAATTCGTTCTTTTAATTCTGGGTTTATATTATAGGCTATATTAATTTAAATAGTATTTTCTAACTATATTTGAAACTAATTTTCTTTAGAATATAGTTATTTAGATCCTTTATTTATTTTAGTTCAATTATTATAGCTACTATAGTATTCTCTATAACCTCTACTATAACTTCTAGTATATTCTCTCTAAAAACTCGAATTATACTTACTAGGCTATTAATACTATTATACTTATTATAATTAGCTAGGCTATATAAGCAGGCTATAAATATCTTCCCGAATTATAATAATAGCTATATTAAATTATTTTTATAGGTTTTTTTAAGTTATAATAATAATAAATAGTTTTTCCAGACTTCTTATTAGCTAGTTAATATTATTTTCTTTAGGTTTACTACTTTTAATAGGTTTTATATAATTAGCTATAGGTTAGATTCTTTTTTTACTTATATCTATAATAGCTTTAGGAAATATAATAGAAGAAACTAGTAAAAAATAATTATTTTCTGGTTTAGGAACTATATTATAAATTATTATATTCAAGTATTTTTATCTAAATCTAAATATATCTGGGTTATTAGTAATATTAAAATAATATTTCTTCTTTTTATATTAATAGGATATTATTACCTTCTTATATATCTTATTATATTTATAAATAGAAATATCTATAAGCTTAAAGTTTATATCTTTAAAAATATAATCTTTTATTAGAATAAATAATTTCTTTATAAATTCTCGGTACTAAATAATTTCATTTATCTTTTTTCTTTTTAGTAATTCCTTTAATATTTTATTAAATATATTAATATAAGACTTAAATAAGATTTCTTTATTCTGGGTTTATATAATAATTTAATTAAGAAAGCTATAGCTAATTTTAAGTATTTCTTAGTTATATTCTCGGAATTTCTTTAGTAAGGCCTTAAAGAACTTAGTTTCCTAATAATTTCCCGGATTATTAGTATAATATTCCGGTATAGCCTTAATCTAATTCTTATAAATAGGAGAGATATGATAAATAATTTTTTTTCTTTTAATATTATTAGAAATATAATAGTTCTTATATATATTTATATATTATTTCAAAAATATAGAAATATTATTTCCCTAAAACTATAATACTTTAGGAGCTTTTATAAATAACAGATTTAAATCCGGTATTAGTATATATTTATTCTTAGCTATATTAATTTTAATAATTTCTTCTATAATTAATTATAAAGTTTCTATATCTAAAACTTTTACTAATAAGATTCCTAAAGAACTAACTTCCTATTTAAGTATATTTTTTAATTTAAGAACCGGAATTAGAAAGAAACTAGTTAATAATAATAGATATAGTTAAGGTTCGAGTTTTAGTATTAATAGTAATAAGATAATAGCTTTTCTAGTCTTATTTCTATTATTTATATTTTTTTTCCTATTTCTTTAGCTTAATACCTATAATATTTTCTCTTAATTTTACTAAACTAGATATATCTATTAATACTATTAAAAGTAATAATAAAAATAATAAATATAATTTTACTAATTTTTCTGACTTTTCTGAATTCTTTTTTCTTTTTCTATTTAGTATCTATTTCTTTTTCTAGAAGCTTCTCTAGTTTATTTATATAATTTCTTATTTCTAATTTCTTTTTAATTCTTATTTCTAATTCTAATTTACTATTTTATTTAAATTTGAGAATATTTCCTTTTTTAGATATTTTTTTCGGATTTAGAAATAAGCTTTATTACTAAGATTAGAGCTATTTTAATTCCGGCTTTTATTATAACTAAAAATAATATATAAATTAATAATATAACTTTATTTCCAAATACTAAAGTCTAATTCTAACTAAGATCTAACTTATATTATCTTAATATAATATTTCTTATTTTATTTCCTCTATTTCTTTTCCTTTTATAATTAGCCTTTATTTCTACTACTTCTATATATTATACTAGTAATTATATCTTATAACTAACCCGTATCCAAGTTACTAGATATATTAGAAATTAATATAAGATACTAAGATTAATATTTATATATTCTTAATATTTTGGCCTTAGGCTTAAGGTATTATAATAGCCCTTTTCTCTCCTAACTTACTAAACTAATAATCCGCCTTATAAATATTTCTTAGAACTTTATAAAAGTATTACCTTAATTATAAAGTTTTTATTCTTCTTATATTACTTACTATAAAATATATAAGAGGGAAACTATAATAAGACAAAAACCTATATAAAGTATACTAGAGTATAAAACGTAACTTAATAGTAAAATAATAAATTAAAAATATAAATAATAAAGTATAAATAGTATATAGTATATAAAAGCTTAATTAATTAAATACTTATAAAGGATTATTCTCTAAGTCTATAGAAAAACCAGCTTTCTTATATGATTTCCGCAAGTTATATATAAAAGGCTATAGCCTTTATTATATAACCTAAACCTTAAAACCGCTAAAACAATGTAATTTTCGATAAGTACGGCCTGCCGTACTATACTATATAAGTAAGAACCTTTTATATAGTCCTAGATATAATCTTATAACCCCTTTTCTTTACTTTCTTTATAATTATAATATAAGAAAAGCCTCTTATAATAGAATTTTAGAGAATAACTTTTAAAATATATTTAATTACCTTAGAGGAAATTATAAGTTAATTAGATCTTAATATATTAAGTATATATAAGATCTCTAAAAATATATTATTATTCTCTATTTATCTATACTTCCTAGCTATAGCTATAAGTTAATAAATAGCTAATCTGAATACTTCTATAACTTCCCTAATTTGTTCCAAAAACTTCTTGTTCTTAAATATATAAATAGCCTTAATTCTGGTAATAGTAAAGTGCTTTTTGGGCCTAAGAGTAGTAAGTATAAAAGCAGTTAATAAAGCGGGTAATAGAAGGGCTGGTTTAGCTAAATTATTATTTGAATTATCCGAATCTAATAATAAATTATACTATATATCCTCTTTATTTTCGGTATACTCGTTAGAGTATTTATTATCTGAGGAATTAGGAGGAAAGGAGAGCTCTAATTAGCTATCTAATAAATCAAGAAAATTAAATAAACCTCCAAAAGTAGCTATAATAATAGCTAAAGTAAAGTAAAAGATATTAAGTGTTTTTCTAATTAATTAGAATTAGAATTCAGAACAAAGTATATATAGAGAGGTATATATTAGGGCTAATTACCCCTCCTTGACTCGCTACTAATTAGTAGACTCGCCTATATTTATAGGCATTTGGGGGCATTCAATACCTATTAAGCTATATAAGCCTATATTAAGCCTTCAGGGCACTTTTAGTAAGCTTATAGGGGCTTACAAGGGACTATAACTAGCTATAGGGAGACTAAAGTAAGACCTTACAGGGCATTTAGTAGCCTTTATAAAATAATGCCCTGTATTCCCGATACTTTATACTATTGTCTTCGTATATCTTTTAATATATAAGGTAGTGTGTCCACGTTTAATAAAAGAAGATGGCGCGGGCTGAGTGAGAAAGTAATTGAGAGATAAACAAGTAACTATCAGACGCTCTATAGCTCTTCTTTTGCTCAAACGAACGAGGAATCCTCAACTATTAAATGCCCGTCGCCGTCTAATAATACTTAAAACAGAGATTAAAAATAAGGCCTCCTCTCCTGCCTTATCCAACATAAATACTTGTATAAAGAAAGAGGCTTGGGTTGGAAACAGGGGTAGACGAGCACGCTCTAAGGCAGTGTTGGCTATAATAGCTGCAAGGCAGAATTTGGCAGAGATGCAGAACCCTGTGCGGAGGGTCTACACCGGAGAGGATGTTTCTTCTATTTGACAATACGGTGGCCAGATTCCTCCAAACTTAAGATGCACTCAAAAACCCATTAATATGATCACTTGGCCACCTGCTTACTGGCTGTAGATTGAACGCGTGACCCTGCCTTGTACGGGCTCCTTTAAGGACGATGCTGCAACTATAATTTTTTTTCGCAAAATCAAAATTACGATATTTTAAAAATGTGCTATTATTAATAGTCTAGCTAATTTCTATGGTAGAATACAATTAAAACAGTCGATCTATATGGTGTTTTATCGCATTCCATGGTAGGAATGCAATAGGGTAGGAAAAATCAATAAAATGCACGTGATATGCCCCCTGGCCTACTAGCCATCTGGCACACTTCGTTCATACTTTTGTTCCTACGTTATTATTTCTAATACTATTGATCTATTATCATTAAACTCTTTATAATGGGTCGTTTCAAGATTAATATTATGTGCTATTAAGCCCATATTCTTTGTTTAATTGAGCAGCAGCTGTCACATGAGACTATTGTGGAGAGGTTAAAGCATGACTTTGACGTTGATATTTCCCTGAGAACGCTACGCAGTAGGCTTTCCGAATGGAAAACGCCCTCTAAACGTTCGATATTTGATCCTTCGCCGCAGGTGAAGGGTCTTATCGCCTGGTTCTTTTGTGATATCCATATGACTAATGCCAATATACTTACCAACCTCCGGAGCTTAGGATATGACATTCCTAATCTATGACTATTACAATAAGCTCGCCGGGCTATGGGCCTTTGACGTCGAATGCTTAATTCGCAAGTTAAGCTAGAAAAGGAGCAACTTCGCCATATCCTCAAGCAACACACAGTGGATAAAGGCCCACAAGGCAATACTAGAAGTTATGGCTGCCGGCTTCTATATACTTATCTTAACTCCCTAGGGGATGGCCAGAAGTTTTCTAGGAATAGAATAGCTTCTGTAATGCAGGAAATTGATCCAGAAAGTATATAACGTTGCTCGGAAGAGATGAAGGCAGCTAGGGAGGAATATAATATTCATGGGCCGAACTTTGTTTGGTCTATCGATAGCTATTGCAAGGTAAGTACAGCATATACTTAACTTCAAAAATCATTATCTCAATAACTACTAATCCGTTTACTTAGCTACGATTTTGTGGGATTGAGATATATGCTGGTATTGATGCCTACTCACGGTTCGTACCTTGGATTTATATTGGAATCTCAAATGGTTATGCTATAAGTAGTAATATTTCCTAATTCGGTATGAATACATCCCCTTGAAAATGCCAAAATTCACTTAGTCGTGATTCCGGCTATATAATTCTGTAGTATTATAGAGAACTAGTTATTTGAAAAACCCTTAATTTAGGCGATAAACCCCCTGAATCTCCACACCACATTCTCCTTTAGGCTAATTAATATTATACTAATATACACTTACTTATACCACTTTCCAGGTTACTATCCTAGTGCAATACCTTGACTTGGTAGACGAAATGGAGGTTATTCCGCTCCATATTCGATCGGATAGAGGATGCGAAACACCCATAATTACTAATGCCCATTATATCCTCTATAAAGCGACGTGCCAAACAAGGGGTATTAATCCATATCAGTTCTCAGATCTCTATTAGTTCGGGACTAGTACAGCTAATTAACGAATTGAGGCATGGTGGGGGCAAGTTGCGAAGGTAATTTATCTATACTAATCCCATATAGACTTATTTAATTAGCTAATATTATATAGGGCATGCTAAATAAATAAAAGATATTTTTCAAGTAACTACGCTCTCAAAGGCTTTACTCCCGCAAACTTCTCCCTGACTATATCGCTATGCTTTTCGTCTATTTACCTATTATACGGGAGCAAACTAAGGAGTTCGTCCGGGTTTGGAATATCCATTTAATTAGGAAACAGCCTAATCGTCCACATATCGTCCCTGGTCAACCATTCCAGAACTACATGTTTTCAGAGCAGATAGGGGTCAGGGACTACGGGATTCCTATTAATATCGATAAACTGAACGAGCTACGTGAAGGATATGCTAGCTATAATAAAGACGCATATTTACCGGAGGTTACACTTGAGTGGTGTGAGCAAGAGCTTAAGAATGCCGGCTTTATACTCCCAATTACGGAGTCTACACGTGACTCGAATAGGGATCTGAACCACCTGAGTACGTATATATATCTAAGGGAGTCAATTAGCGACCACCTAATTAATACGAAGAATACTTGTCCAAAGCTAGGGCTTTTATTAATACCTAAGGGTATATATAATTGGAATCCATTACCAGAGGTAGCTGTGGGACTAGAAGAGGCAAGGCTAAAGGATTATAATAATCAAGATAGCATTTAGTTCATTAATAAAGGGAGAGACGCTAGCTATAGAGATAAAGATCTCACCTATATTGGCTCTGACGATGAAGCGGAGGTTGAAGATAATGCGGAGGATACTAGATTTACTATAGATAGTATTACTTTTAATAGGGCAAATGGCAATTGGGTCATAAATAGTCAAGAGTATAGACAGTTTATGGATAATGGATACGTATCTGAGCCTGAAGCAGAGGAGGAGGATAATCTAGAAATTCCTCCTGTAAATATTAGTCGGTTTACCCGGCCTCAGAGAGGCTAAACAGGGACATATTAATATATATCCTAAAGAAAGAACTAGCTAAAAACATTAATTTTTGGTAAAGCAATTAATTACAGAAGCTAATAGTAATCTGCTTAATTAGTTAAATTCACATAGTTACAGGTGGTTTAATGTCAAAAGGTCACATGATTTACCTCGTCAGAAAATCGACCCTTGCCCCTTTATTTTCCACACCCCCTATAATTATTTTATTAACTTGTTATTTTAGTAGTAAGGAGTCCATAGTATAGATCAAATTCTCCGTTAATACTAGCTCTATTAAATTAATAGTTCTTGAGAACTTTTGAAGTGATTACAAGACATATTTAGTGAAAATGTCTCTTTTTATATGGAATTTAGTTTCCCCCCCTTAATTTCTATAGCCCCTTACTTAATATTCTATAGCCCCTAGTATAGGAAACCATAGTTTATATAGGAATAATGCTAGGGATAAATAAAATATGTCCGAATTTAACTTGTGCTAAGGGGCATCCCTTGTAGTCCTTCCATTTACTCCTTTTTATATATTAGTAATACGCCACTATTAATAACCTCCAAAATAAGTCTCTAATACATAAATTCCCTAGGGAAAAAGTTATAGGGGCATGGGCTAAAGGGTTAAAATAATATTAATATATTATAGTTCTATCCTGCTACTTGACTTCACACCACCATTTACTAAACTATAGATTTATTAGCTATACCCTCCTTCTAATATTTAATTATAAATCAGATCCTTATTATATTATCCCCAAACGTTTTCAATGGATAATCTTAATCTATGGAACTCTTGTTTTGTACGGGAGGCACCACACCCCCCCTCTATGGTAAAGTGTCCATTATGTGGTGCGATTAACCCAGCTACTCCTTCTCCTGCTCCTATTACTCCTACTTCAGCTACACCGACTATTGCATTAGATGGTATACCATTTTCTAGTCAAACTCAACTTCAGAATACTACCGCCCAGCTATTAAGAGACCAAGGGGTCAATATCTCAGCTAATTCCTATCCTTTTTACTACCCCCCGGGCATGGATCTCTCAGAGGAGGTCCTTGAATCAGAAGCACGTGAGAGGAGACAGCAGGCTAAGCTCGAGCGTTTAGAGCGATTACGTGGTAATTTCTATCAGGAAGCTCAGGGCGAAAGTGCGTATCTATCTATTTAACTCCTATATTAATACTAATTTTATTAGGTTCAGCCCTTAAAAGGGGTAAAGCCCTTGGTTCCCTTACTCTCGGCCAGGGGGCACGTGTAAGGGCTTTTAGTAAGGGTAAATCGCCGATCCCTCCTGCTCCTATTATCGAAAAACGATATAAGGTCCTTATTTCTATTATACTACGTATATATGAAATAGAAGAACTAGAGAGTAGCTTTACTGGGAGGAGTATACCTGTTTTAATCACAAAGAAGTTCCTTAGCTTAGAAGAGTATCGGGAGGCTCAAAATATTCAAATTGAGCTATAGATAGTAGAATAGTTTAATACGTACGTAAAGCTTATTTATAGAAATACATACCTCTTTGCTAATATGGTACTTTATTATAGTCAAGAACTATTATATAAGGAGTTCGCTATGTATTTAGCCAAGGCTTTTTTATCGTCAATTCCGTTACTTGAAGACTGGGAGCTTAATTAATGGATCACGATCTTGGAACGCGCAAATAGGGTGTCTTTTGCTACTAAAGTAAGCTATTGTTTATTAGTATCCTAATATAATTAGTACTAATATAATCAGGTATGGCCAAAGGACAAAAACAAGAGGATCGACCATGTGACTAATCTAATATATGGAGCTGAAAATACTATTAACGGCTTATTATCCTACTTTAGCTAATTAAATAAGAGAACGCCAAAGCATATTTATCTTGTATTTAATTAAGATATTAATAAAATTCAGGCAAGAGACGACGAGATTCAGGATGAGCGTGAAAGAAGGGATAGAGAGATGCCTTACCTCCTAGATTTTAGCCCCCTATTAGGAGACTCTCCCGATACCACCCCTAACGTAGTATCTATATCTACAGTTATATCTACGGCATCTTCTTTACCTGCTTCGACTCCTAATTAACAGATCGAAGCTATATGGGAGAAGGTTGCTCCTTTAAAGAATTGGTCAGGTAACGACCTGAATTCTGACGATTTTAATTCAGACGACGATATGCCTACGCTAGAAGCTAGAATTACGGTTTCTCCTGCTCCTGCTCCTACTCCTGATCCTACTCCTGCTCCTGCTCCTGCTCCTGCTTCTATACCTAGTAAGTTAATAGATTTAAATATACTAGTAGATCTGACGTTTTTACTAGCGTTCGCTCCCGCTCCCGCTCCACCCACTCAACGTCCTCTAAAGTCTATATTAAAGAGGAAGCGGGAGGTAATTATATCAAGCGATAACGACGATAATTCAGATCTTGACGATAGAGAGAAGGAATTACCAGGGGATGGTGATTATAGGCCGGGGAATAGGCGTAGGGATAATCGGGGGCAGTTCAAAAAAGCGAGAACAGAGTAATACTACTGGATACATTTGACTATGATACATGGGAGTTGCGTATTTGGCCATAATTAGGTGTGTTTTCCATATAAAATGTGGCCATTAAATAAATCGCGATTCATCGTAATTTTGATTTTGCGAAAAAAATTATAGTTGCAGCATCGTCGCTAAATCAGCCCGTAGCCTTGCCCTGTAAACCAAAAACCAACAGCATTTTTATTCCTAGCAGACTAAAAAAAGATATTCCTTTTACTTGACAACACCAGTGGCCAGATTCCTTTTAGTTTAAAGTATACTCTGAAACCTTAATACGATAGCTCGGGCATCTTCCCACTGGCTATAGATAGAACGTGTTGAACGAGCTAAATAAAGAAGCTAGGGTCACGTGCTTGCAATGTAAACCAAGTAAAACGTACTGAATTGACTGCTGTTCTACAGTGGTAAGTAGCCCGTATATATAGCCCTGAACCCCCTAAATCACATGCACTAAACCCCTATGCCAGCTAAACCGATTCCAGCTATACAGGGCATTCCGGCTATACAGGGTATTCCGGCCGGACAGGGTATTAAGCTAGTGCACAGCCCCATGGCGTTCGGTTCCAAGGCTTACTAAGCCTATTAGGGGTCTCAGGCCCCTAATTTCAACAGAACGCGTAGCCTTACCTCACCTCGTGAGCCAACAACCAACAACCAACAACCAACAACGCTTTTATTCTTAGCAGACCAAAAAAAGACATTTCATCTCCTTGACAATACGGTAGCCAGATTCCTCCCAACTGAAGATGCACTTTAAAGCCCGCTAATACTACATCTCGGCCATTGTAGAACAATTACATAAACGACTATATTGGTTTTTAAGCCACCTTGACTTTTATACAAGAACCCCCTTTTTTTAATTTATAGCTTAATTACTTTATAAACGGCAGTCATTACCCGAATCTTCCATTATTATATCGAGTTCAAATCTTGTAAAAATAAAGCTATTTCTTTTAATAATAATAATCTATAAAATATAATATATAAAGATAATAATATAAAGTATTAGAAATACAAGGCATTGTTTTATAAAGGCTATTAAATGCCTTATAAAGTCTTATTTTAATCTTCTTATAACTAGCTCTAGTATTTTATAAGCCTTTATAAGCTTATTAAAAGTGTTCTAATAGCTTAATAAATACTAAATGCCCCTAAATACTTATAAATATAAGCGAGCTTACTAATTAGTAAGAAATAATTAGCTTTAATATATATTTTCTTATATATACTTCGTTTTGCATTCTAATTCTAATTAATTAGAAAAGTACTTTATATTTTTTGCTTTACTTTAATTATTATTAAAACTAGTTTTAAAAAGATATTAATAAAAATTTGTTTTAAAATTTATAATATATTATAACTTAACTCTAATAAATTAAATAAGTACTTTATAATAATATAGAATTAAGCTTAAATAAGCCAAAATATTTTACTTAATATTAAAATAAAAAATTAGTATTTAATAATATATTTTTAAGAAGATTTGATCTTTATAAAGCTTTTAAAATGCTATATTACTAAATTAATAACTAAGCTAAAGAAAGAAAGAAAATTTTCAAACTAAATGCAGTAATAGTTTTCGTTAATAAGATTCATTCTTCGCCTCAAATTATGCTCTTCTGTGTCAGCCGCCAGGCATTCGAAACCATTCTCAAATCCGTTCATGGATTAGCCTCCCTCTATACAATAGTAAGGTGGGGATTAAATTGGAACTCCGCCTTGATTATCCTCATCCTCAGAAGTGCTTACTTCAACATCTTCGTTTAGTTCTCGCAAGCTCAGTATTGATTGTTCTAGATTGGATGTTTAGTGATGTTATAGAGTGATGGAATGGAGGATAAAATACCGAGATCACCTGGGTACGCAACTGGAGGTGTGTCTGTCTCGCCCAATCGCATTGATTCTAATGTCGTTGTTATTCCAGTTGTAGAATCGGTGTGGTATGGCAATCGCATGTTGTGACTCTTTATCTCAGAAAACAAGTCCTTACGGACTAAGTCGATCATCCGCAATAGAATTCTTTCCTGTACCTGCAATAAACGGAAAGCTCCAGGTTCCCGAATATAGACATCAGGGGGACGCCAAGCAACATAGACTTTGTTGTGACTAGCCGGAATTGCGTAATGGCTTGGGTGGTGGGTGATATACATGTGGCATAAATAGCATGCTGGCTTGCTGCAGCCAATGTATTTCTCGCCCTGGCCCAGAAAGTTGCAAGAATTTCGTTCGAAATGATCGATAAGGAGCAATTCGGCGTGAACTCTCGTCTTAGTAGCTCGTTCACGTTGCAGAAAGCTGTCTATTTCCTTTTCTTCCGGAGACACGAGCGACCTGAGCCGTTCCATGAACTCGGCTTTCTTTGAAGAATCCGAAAACATACGATGAACAGTGCGCTCTATCGTTGCTTCCTTCTTGCCTCGGAAGGGAAGTTGTTGTGGTACTGACGAGCGTACTGTTTTCACAGTAAATCCCTGAGCAAAGTCTTGCGCAAGCTTTGTTGCCGCTTCGGTTAGTGTCTTTGAGGACTTGAGAGGCTTCCCAAGTTTGCCGAGTAGTTTATAAAGCCGTTCAAATGTTTCGTGCCGTGTCCGCCCTTGCCCAGCAAACATGCTAACAGTCTTCAAGTACTGAGTGTGTCTAATGTCATAGCAAGCTTTGGATAAGTCGAAGAGACTTGGTCCTGTACATCCTCCAGTGTCATCGCCAAAGTATTTCCTGAGCCACTGTTGCAAGTTGTTAACCTCGAGTGCACTCCTGTCTCTGTCCGTAGCTCCTGCCAAGCTTTAGCGAAATAATGACAACACACCCTGGCAATGCTAAACTTACCGTTGCCCCTAACGTAGCCTGTCATGAGTTCATGGCAAGGAAGAATGCATGATTTGATAATCTCTGCACGGTACGCATTGAGTCTTGGAGCTTGAAAATCGACAATCATAGATGCAAGCCTTTGGGTTGCCAGTGAAGCTTCCTGGTGTAAGTCCTCCATACTGTCTTTCTCGACAACTCGATACACGCATGCCAAAACCCCCTTCAAGAAAGTGACGACCCCCTCTTCAACATCGGCGTTAGCGCAGAGCCAGACTACAACACCCTGGGGGGTCTTCTCTAGAGCGGCTGCAGCGACGTGGTCAGGCCCCTTTCGGTAGGCACAGATGTAGGCGATGGCGTTTGTGAAAGACCGTCGGAGCTGGATATGATTTGATTCTGGATCATCGGAGATTATCTCGGATTTGATTCTTTCCCCCCGTATCGGACTAAGGGCGTGAAGGAGTAATAGTGGTTCGTAAAACCTCCTAGTTACCTTATGCCGTATCGGAGAAATACCTAACGGTCTTGGCATTGCCAGATTGCTTTCCTGCTGATCGATAGCCGGTGGCATGAGCTGGATTCATTGGATGCACAGCTGTTCGGTCAGTAACCTTGTCGCTGATCTAAAAATTAAAAATTGCAGTATCTCACCTTCAGATGCGTTCCGTCTCTACCTTTTGCACAGTATATAGTCTTTTCACTCTGTTCGGCGGCTGCAATGAACACTCATATTAAGGCAATAAGTTTGGTATTGGGTTGACATTCTGATGCGAGACCCAGGTTTACCCACCCATACGATCGAGCATCACCCCCTTAAACCCCGCAATACCAATAACAATGAGAGAATCGAGAAGAAGCAAACCGAATTCTGAGGGCGCCAGTCGGCCTCCAGTGGGCCTCAAAAGTGAGGCTGTCTAACGAGTTTTCATCCAATTAAGGTCGAGTAGCTTACAATTTCCTAAGACCTATAAGAGGCTTCTGCGAGTGAGGCGAACTTCATTGGTGTCAATTTCTGCATAGCTATCCTTATGTAGTTCGTGCTCCATAATGATTCGCGAGGCTGTGTTGATGAGTGAGCATTTTCGTGAACCAGATCTAAGATTAGAAATTTAGGTTGAATTTTTGGATTCGGAATGTGTTCCTAATTTTCCAGCCCCATTTAATAGGAATTTTATGTCATCTTGACCAGCGATCTCTTTTGGAGAGTGTTTTCGATTAATGATTCTGATTATCAAGAAGTTTATACTTCTTATTAGTTTGTTTACACACCTTATAGACGAAACTATCCGAAAGATGGCCACGCTGGGACTACTTGCAGAGACAAATATACGCCCCCGGGCTTATCAGTTAGAGATGTTGGAAGAAAGTCTTAAAGGAAACATCATCGTTGCTGTCAGTGAAGCCATGGGCTCGAAGAGATGAGTGTTGACGAATTAACAGATGGACACCGGAAGTGGGAAGACTCAAATGTAGGTCTAACTCTGGTGAAAGGACACAACATAACTAATTTCAATTGCCATGGTAGAGCCGTACTACGCATTTCTGCAGAACTTGAAATCTGTCACGCTTCACAGGTTATCTATATCTGCCCATCTGCACTCACTACTGCTACTGATAATTACTAGATAATATGGTTCTTGGCTCCAACCGTTTCACTTTGCGAACAACAATACAGCGTCCTCTCTCTTCACCTACCAACGGTAGGAATAAGGCTATTGTTGGGTCGTGACAATGTCGACCGATGGAGCTCGCAGCATATCTGGGATACTGCACTCTCTGGAGCGCGGATAGTAGTATCTACGCATGCAGTTTTGGCTGATGCGTTAAGTCATGGATTCGTAGTCATGGCAAAGTTGGCACTCTTGATATTTGATGAAGGTGAGCATCCTTCTTGCTTTCCAACTCGGTTAATCATATGACCCGACAGCGCACCACTGTGTCGGTAACCATCCCGCCAACAAGATTATGAAGGGATACTATCACCACCGGGGGGCAGAGTTGGGTTTAAATTCCAGACCCAAGATTCTAGGCTTGACTGCCAGCCCCATTGTAAGGTCAAAACCGAAAGATCTTCGGTAGGTTGAACTCCACGCGCTGAGTTTTCCTTCGATGTATAATCTATGGTATTCACTAACTTATTGCACCAAAGAGTCATCGAGGTTAATTTGGATTCAGTCACCAAGACTCCTCGCATCAACCGACAGGAGTTGACCCGGCATGTCCACGTTCCTGAGCTGGTCGAAATTGTCTACTCTGAAGATTGTCTTAGCTCCAAAACAAGGTCTTCTATATTGGAATTGCTACTCGACCGTGTCCAAGACGCCGAAAACCAATGGTCGAAGTACAAACTTTGTCTCCTATCAGCAGAAGAAATCGCCGGGCTCTCTACAAGCTCTCTGAGAGTGCGAAATTGGAGCACTTCCGCACAAGAACAGCTAAAGAGGTTCTCTGCTCGGTCTCGATATATTCAACAAGAACTTGGAGCCTGGGCTTCTGACTACTATATTACCGCCACAATCTCTCGGGCAACATCATGTATGCATTCACAACAAAATGCACGCCTCGACTGGAAAGATGAAGAAAGGATCCACATCCTCAATACGCTAGGGCAAATTCGAGTTGCCGAGTCCCTAAACCCTCCGTCACTCCAAAAGATCTCAAATAAATGTGACTCTCTCTTTCAATTCTTGAAAAGTGCTTATAAAAAGGATTTCCGTGGCCTTATATTTGTCAAGCAGCGAGTGACTGCCATTGCACTTTGCCAACTTCTCTCACAACACCCCGAAACGAAGGATCTCTTCAGCAGCGGTACATTCGTAGGTACCTCGACAAATCAAAGTAGAAAAACGGAATTGGCCGATCTCCTGGATCAGAAATGCCAGAAGGAAGTACTAAAGAACTTTCGTGAAGGCAGCAAAAATATTATCATCGCCACCAGCGCCCTCGAGGAGGGCATTGACGTATCAGCATGCAATGTAGTCATCTGTTTCAACAAGCCGCCAAATTTGAAGTCGTTCATTCAAAGGCGGGGCAGAGCAAGACATGAGAAGTCTACATTCATGATCTTGCTATCTTTGGGTGATAATGCAGATCTGGGAGCAGCCTGGGAGAGAATGGAGTCTAAGATGGTTGAGGAGTATATGAGAGAGTCACGACAGTTAGATGATGAAGAGGGCAGACTTCTTGATGAGATCGAGGACGACTCTATGACTTTGAGAGTTGAATCGACTGGGTTGGTAAAAATTCACAAAGGCCTCTTACATGGCTAACTTCCCCAGGGCGAGACTCACTCTAGACGATGCTGTAGGACATTTACACCATTTCTGTGCAACATTGCCTGTCTATCGCTACGCTCATAGCCGCCCAACATTCACCTACCAAACGGAATTGACAGGTCGCATCCGGGGATTTGTGACACTTCCAAACTCAGTTCATCCCTCGGTTCGTCAAGCATCATCGCTCCGTAGCTGGCAAAAGGAGAATATGGCAGCCAAAGATGCAGCATTGCAAGCCTATGTGGCACTGTACAAAGCTGGTTTATTGAATGATAATCTATTGCCATTGATGCCAGGAGATGTGTTCGAAGAGACGAAATCCGCAGAAGATTTATCTTCCATGGTTAAGATTCAACAACAACACAATCCGTGGCTTGACATAGCCAAGAAAAGCGCTACTACCAAAAAAAGATACCTCAATCCCGTCAAGGTTCGGGTCGCAAGCGAAGTGGTCCTTTCGACAAAGCTCACCCTTCCGACCCAAATATGTTCACTGCCGTGGTCTCCATTGCCAGAGCAAGGGATCCGGTGCGAAATTTGCATCGATGACTCAGAAGAGATTACAGATCCGGACAATTTTCATCTTGGTTCATGTCAAGCCAGCACAAGATCAATGTTACGGCAAGTCCACGGCACTCGTATCACTGTCTGCCACAATGGTTTCTTAGTCCAATTCACACCGCCGATAACACAAGATGAGCTTAGAGCATGGATTCGGCAATCTTCGACTGAAAATTTCGAAGTGCCCCGTGATGCTGGTCTAGAACGCCACCCCGGGGCACGTTCAACGGTGCCTCTCGTCACCATCCCTATATCTCAGAAATCAGAAGTGACAAGCGCCACAAAATGGCTACACAATCCCAATCGATTCGCTAAATTTGCGCCACACATAATTCATTGTCTAGAAACCCTATTGTTGGGTGAGGAAATGGTGGACAGACTCCACCTCAACGTACACTTACGAAGAGTAGACCTGGTTGCACAAGCCCTCTGCTTGCCCTCTGCCAATGCTCTGTCAAACAATACTCGTCTTGCCTTTCTCGGCGATACCGTATTGGATTTTCTTGTCACGAGCAAACTATTTGCTGCACATGCCACTTGGCACGAGGGGTATCTTTCTGCTAAGAGAAAGTTAATCATCTCAAACGCACATATATCAAAAATGGCTCTGCAAACCGGACTAGATAAGTTCATCATTACTAAGTCTTGTCAGAAAAGGTCTTCGGAATCTCCAAAAAGCCCAGACATCTATTTTGATGATATTGGAAGAACAAGATACCTTTCAAGGACGGCAATAGCGAATGTTGTTCAGGCTATAATCGGCACTGCGTATCTACAAGGGAAGCTCAAAACAGCTCTCCAGTGTGCCCAGGTCTTCACACCAGAGCTCTTAGAACATCCTGCGGATTGTTCTCTAAGGATGGCCTGCGGTCGACGAGAGTCGGCTGGAGTCCCTCATTTTGGGCCATTGGAAAAGTTGTTAGGATACAAGTTCCACAACACCTCAATCTTGACAGAAGCAATGACACATCCTTCGTGTGAACAAGACCTGACAACCTATTCATATGGAAGATTAGCAGTCCTTGGCAGCAGTGTTCTGAGTATGACTATTGTTCAATCTTTATATCCCGGGACCGAAATGATTTCAAGCAACCAGCAACAACTTCTCCGGGCCGCTACCATCAACAAGGGGTTTTTGGCTTTTATCTGTATCGACACTTCTTTAGATCTGGATTTTTACGATATCCAGGAATCTGGCCCAAGTCGATTTTGTGAAGTACGGCGCCAAAAAAAAAACCCTTTATGGAGTTTTATGAGGCTTGGTCACTTTGAAATCGCGCCCGACAGAGCGGAATTCCTCCAAAAGCATACCGAAACCTGTCAAGGCATTCGACTTACACTAGCCTCGGGTATGACCTACCCTTGGCAAGACCTTGCAAATCTGGAGGCCAACGCATATTTCTCCGACATCGTGCGAAGCTTATTTGGCGCGGTGTATGCTGACAGCAATGGAGATGTACTCCAATGTTCTCTGCTCGCTGAGAAACTCAAAATACTCCCTATTATGCGTCGATTATTGCACGATAATGTGGACGTCATGCACCCAAAAAACCGGTTGGGGGAAATGGTTGGCGATCTGAGCGTAACTTACAGAACAGATTCAACACCAGCAAACAATTATCGTTGCACAGTTCGAGTAAACGGAAAACAAATTGGAGACCCTCAAACAGCCCCTTGTAAACAAGGAGCTACGATCAGAGCCGCAGAGCAAGCTCTTAGGATTCTAAGGAGTAACCTGGAGACTTCACCTATTAGTTCTTACATGGAATAGACGAAAAAGAAAGCTTACCAGGTAGTTAAACACCCTTGGTTTATGCGATTTTTTCTACATTGTATTACGAAAAGGAGCAAATTTTAGTGGGCTCGAGTGATTTGATATGCTTGACTTGAATAAAGGGTTTTTTGCTATTTAGTAAACTTAACATAGTTGCTTATTTTGCGAGTAGCTAGGTTATAAGTAATAACTAATATAAAGATATATTAAGTAAAAAGCAAGTAAGAAAAAAAATATTTATACTTATATATAATATTTTAATTTATATTTTACTTGAATATATATTTATATATAATAAGAGAACCTTATAATAATATAAATTAAAGATAAAAGCTCTATTATAAGGCAATTATTATTAAATTACTACTAAATAAAATAGAAAGATTAAGATTTGTATTATAATTATTTATTATTGGAATTAAATACTAAAGGCTTTAAAAATTATATAAGCTATAATAGTAATTATTATTATAAAGCCAAATATTAAAATTACTAATATATTTGAAATCTTAATTAAATAAGTATTTATAATACTTATTTTAAAGATTCTAAAGCTTAGTATTTTTAAAGTAATATTTTTTTATAAAAAAATACCTTAATTAATAATTCTAAAAATATAAGATTAACTTAAGATATAATTAAATATAATTAATTAATAAATGTAAGACTTTAATTGTTTAGAAAATAATATATTTTAAGAAAAAACTCAGGACAGTACTAGTAAGTAGTTAATATAGAGTAAAAGTCGAGGGGTTAGCAAAATCAGAAGTTTTATTTAAGTTAGTTATAAATAGTACTATAGCAGACTAATTAGAAGAGCCACAAGTCTGGCCCATAGTGGGAATATCTAGAGCTGTCAAGAGCAAAGAACCTTCGGCTCTGCCTCTGTCGCTGAGTCTGCCACCGCTTGTGCAATCACATCGGCTCCTCTCCTCCCTTCCGTCGGCGTTTGCAACCGCATGTCTCTATCACGATTATTGAATCGACCTAAGGATTTCAAAGTCTCGGGCTCTGCATATCGCCATTGTCGCTCATCAACAGATTTCAAACACTACACTGCCATTGCATCTACTAGGCCGATAAAAGTTCTGAGACTCTACACATTGATATTGGCATCAGTGCTCCCCATCAAAGGATACCCGCATTTGGGGCTGTATATTGCCATTGCCGCCAGCAGGCCGATTCAAGTATGTTGGACTGTTTGTTTGAGATCAACCGACCAAAGGCCTTTTCCTCTTGCCTTTGACTCTGCGTCTACCTACACTGATCACAGCATCACTCCTTTCTGGCGTTTCAGGAGATAGCATAGCACATCGTGATTGGGGTCAGTGAACTAATCACGAACCCCCCTGTCTTTGCTTGGGTATGCTCATCATCTCCCCTTGTCGGCTCTGGTAATGGCGCAACCTTGCGGGTTCGACTCCTGCCCTTGCCGGTTTCCAAGCTGGCTGGAAGCAGCCCTACTTGCACGCCCCGGGTTACGAAGTAAGATATGATCCCAAGACTTGGGGATGACGCGAGTCCAATCCCCCAAGCCTTTAAGCAGAACCCGAACACACACGAAGCAGTGCCTATATGTCTATGGAATTAGTGCACCATGCCCTTCACTACTCCTTCCTCTAGACCAACCCCACTCAGACAAATTTAAACCTATTCATCGGCATCGCGTCTAACTCCCCAGATTCAGCCAGCTCCCCGTTCATCACGCCCGGGATAAACGCCTCGCCCTTGAGCTTAAATACATAGACCTTACTCCCCTCGGGAGCATTATCAGGAATCGTGGCTGACGTGATCAACGGCCGGCTGTGGTACCACAAAATAATCACCACATCCCACTGCTGCGTCGACGCCGGCACAAGACCCATCAGGGTGCGGTTAGACGTCGTTATCAGCTGTCGGAACTTGGTGCGGGCATCCATGGCGCGATGGGCCTCGGCAACCTTGTGGTACGTGTGCTCAACGGGGTTGCTGATGGCTGCGTCGAAATAGCTCTCGACGGGCTGGAAGGTGAAGTAGGACGAGAGCGGCTTGCCGGCGATGGGGAGGTTGCGGTTTCCTTGGAGGAAGTCCCAGTTTCGCTTGTACAGAAAGCCGTCGTTGCGTGGACATGATTCTTGGGTTTGTCAGTTGACGAGTCTATCCAAGTTCAGATCTAAGATGAGTTGGGATAGATGGACCCGGGAACGAGTCCAGCAGGCGGCTGAAACCCGACGGCACCTTCTTGCCGTGCGTGCCTGTCCCCCCGACAAACGCCGACCAGATCTGGTCTGGAATCGCTTGTACGGCCGGCTCTGAGTTGGGATAGGAGTAATAGTCTGGAACCTCCCTTGCGGCTGACCAGTCGGGATGGAAGCGCAGCAGCACTACACCCGCCTTGAATTACGGTCCAAGGAAAGAGGACATATCCGACGCGCTCAACGCACCGAGCCCGTCGACCGTGTCGATGACCCAGCCGGAGCAAATCATGTTGTCGCCCTCAAACTGGGGGAAAAGCGTGAGGTCTTCTCTCTGAGGCTCCCGGCTTGGGTTTCTACTTTGCAACCAACCGGCTCAGCCTTCCCCGGTCTTTCCTCTCAGGTTGCTGCTGAGCCTGAGGCCGATGATTACTCGGCATCGAGCTCGGCGGGATGCCAATGTACTCCTCTGGCCGTTCCACGTTCATCTCCTCGTCGAAGCGCACCAAGGGTAGTCCCGTCGGCTCAGCGCTCTCGCCGGGGAGCAGTTGTAGGGGGCCGAGATCAACCACGCGCATCATATCTTACTCTCTGTAGGGTGTCCATCCTCGATGCGCTTCTGGATCTGGATGAGACGGATGGAGAGGGGCCCGTCGTCGGGGAGGGCGTATTTGTATTCGCAGTCGGCGACCGAGTATTCCCTGTCGTCGGCCATTATCTGTACTTGTATACTTTCTTTCTTGGTTTTTGGTTGATGTGGTGGATTGGGGGGCGGGGGTGGCGGGTGATGGGTGGTGGGTGATGGGTTTTGCGAAAGATGTATTATGATTGAAATGGTTCCTGGTGTTGCAAAGGGGTTGGAACCGAGTGTGATGCAGAAACTTCGGTGCATTGCCAAGCACTATTGAAACAATTAGTCCCGTAGAACACAGTGCAGGAAGCTCACTGGTAGCGAAGATGCAGTCCGGGAGAGTGGCGCTTTCAGCCGCAGATCACCTGCCCTGCATCTTGAGTGTCTGTTGGGCTTGGCTGGCGCCAACTGCGCATACCCGGCAGCATTGTCATATGGCAGTGATTTGCCAGGTACACATCGGAAATATGTCCTACAAGAGCGGCAATGTAAGGTATGACGAGGTGGAAGACAAAGCACGGGTTCGAAACGAGTGGGAAAGGTACGAGATATAATCCTCTGGAACGAATGAGTAAAGAGGGGTCATGCCTCTGGGGTGTGACTGTGTTGACTATTGAACCGGGGATGGAAGGAGGAATGCCAAACTTGCACTGGAATAGCTACATTCCTTTGGCACGATTTGTTTGTACCTTAGACTGCAAGCCCCCAGTTGCCATGGAGGAGTGATTGAATGAAGACAACCTGTCCTGGGGCATGAGAGTACTCTTGACTGGTGAGCTGTCAAAACGTTTGTAAGAAGTGAGGATAAACGAATATTCGACAAATATTAAACAAGAACGTGATCTAAGATCTTCTAATGGGGATGCTTCTGGTTACTAACTTTAATAAGTTGGTTAAGAAGAGTTTGGTGAGGTTGTTATTGTGAGGGATGTTTGTACGGAAAGCGATAAGGATCAAGTGATTAAGCGATTTTCGAATCCGGTTTTCAATGTCTGATTTATGGCACGTATACACTCTACCAAAAATCGCCTGTAACCAAAATACCGCATTCTGTATACGTAACTACATCTAACTTAAGTTCCTTTATTACTACCTATTATAAGACTCATATATATAATTAAATTATATTTCTAAGTATAAATAATTTATAATATAATTAACTATAATACTTCTGAATTATTTTTATAAGATTATACTAGCCTTATACTATTACTTATATATTTCTTTATTTCTTCTTTTTATTCTTATTAATATATAATTAGCTTTATATATATAAAATATATATAAAAGAACGGAATTATATTAGATTAGAGAATTAGTTATAAATAATATATTTGAAATAACTAGTTAGTAAAAGACATATCTAAAACTAGTAAAAATAAGTTAAGATATATAAAATTATTAGTTTATAAGAAATATATCCGAAACTAGTAATACTAAATAAGGATATATTTAGAGTAGTATAATATAGCAGGCTATACTTGTCGAAAATCGTATTGTTTTAGCGGTTTTGAGATTTAGGTTATATAGTAAAGGCTATGGCCTTTTATATATAACTTGCGGAAATTATATAAGAAAGCTAGTTTTTCTATAGACTTAGAGAATAATTCTTTATAAGTATTTAATTAATTAAGCTTTCATATACTATATACTATTTATACTTTATTATTTATACTTTTAATTTATTATTTTACTATTAAGTTACGTTTTATACTCTAGTATACTTTATATAAGTTTTTGTCTTATTATAGTTTCTCTTTTATATATTTTATAGTAAGTAATATAGGAAGAATAGAAACTTTATAGTTAAGGTAATACTCTTATAAAGTTCTAAGAAATATTTATAAGGCGGATTATTAGCTTAGTAAGTTAGAAGAGAAAAGGGCTATTATAATACCTTAAGCCTAAGACTAAAATATTAAGGATATATAAGTATTAATCTTAGTATCTTATATTAATTTCCGATATATCTAGTAATTTAGATATAGATTAGTTATAAGATATAATTACTAGTATAGTATATAGGAATAATAGAAATAGAGGCTAATTATAAAAGAAAAAGAAATAGAGGAAATAAAATAAGAAATATTATACTAAGATAATATAAGTTAGACCTTAGTTAGAATTAGACTTTAGTATTTAGAAATAAAGTTATATTATTAATTTATATATTATTTTTAGTTATAATAAAAGCTGGAATTAAAATAGCTTTAATTTTAGTAATAAAGCTTATTTCTAAATCCGAAAAAAATACCCAAAAGAGAAAATATCTTTAAATTTAAGTAAAATAGTAAACTAGAATTAGAAATAAGAATTAAAAAGAAATCAGAAATAAGAAATTATATAAATAAACTAGAGAAGCTTTTAAAAAAAGAAATAAATACTAAGTAAAGAAAGAAAAGAGAATTTAGAAAAGTTAGAAAAATTAGTAAAATTATATTTATTATTTTTATTATTACTTTTAATAATATTAATAAATATATCTAGTTTAGTAAAATTAAGGAAAAATACTATAGGTATTAAGCTAAAGAAATAGAAAAGAGAATATAAATAATAGAAATAAGACTAGAAAAGCTACTATTTTATTATTATTAATACTAAAACTCAAACCTTAATTATATTTATTATTATTAACTGGTTTTTTTCTAATTCCGGTTTCTAAACCAAAAAATATATTTAAATAAGAAGTTAGTTTTTTAAGAATCTTATTAGTAGAAGTCTTAGATATAAAAACTTTATAATTAATTATAAAAGAAATTATTAAGATTAATATAGCTAAGAATAAGTATATATTAGTACCAGGTTTAAACCTACTATTTATAAGAGCTTCTAAAATATTATAGTTTTAGGAAAGTAATATCTTTATATTCTTAAAATAGTATATAAATATATATAAGAATTATTATATTCCCGATAATACTAAAAAAAGAGAATTATTTATTATATCTCTCCTATTTATAAGAATTAGATTAAGGCTATATTAGAATATTATACTAATAATCCGGGAAATTACTAGGAAACCAAGTTCTTTAAAGCCTTACTAAAGAAATTCCGAGAATATAACTGGGAAATATTTAAAATTACCTATAACTTTCTTAATTAGATTATTATATAAGCCCAGAATAAAAGAATCTTATCTAAGTCTTATATTAATATATTTAATAAAGTATTAAAAGAATTACTAAAAAGAAAAGAAATAAATAAAATTACTTAGTATCGGGAATTTATAAGGAAATTATTTATTTTAATAAAAGATTATATTTTTAAGAATATAAACTTTAAGCCTATAAATATTTCTATTTATAAATATAATAAGATATATAAGAAGATAATAATATCCTATTAATATAAAAAGAAAAAATATTATTTTAATATTATTAATAATCCAGATATATTTAGACTTAAATAAGAATACTTAAATATAGTAATTTATAATATAGTTCTTAAACTAGAAAATAATTATTTCTTACTAGTTTCTTCTATTATATTTCCTAAAGCTATTATAAATATAAATAAGAGAAAAACCTAGCCTATAGCTAATTATATAAAATTTACTAAAAGTAATAAACCTAAGAAAAATAATATTAACTAGCTAATAAAAAGTTTAGAAAAACTATTTATTACTATTATAACTTAAGAGAACTTATAGAAATAATTTAATATAGCTATTATTATAATTTAAAAGAATATCTATAGCCTACTTATATAGCCTAGCTAACTATAATAAGTATAATAGTATTAATAGCCTAGTAAGTATAATTCGAGTTTTTGGAAAAAATATACTAGAAGTTATAATAAAGGTTATAAAAAATATTATAGTAGCTATAGTAGTTAAGCTAGAATAGGTAAAGAGTCTAGATAATTATATTCTAGAAAAAGTTAGTTTTAAATATAGTCGGAAAATATTATTTAAGTTAATATAGCCTATAGTATAGACCTAGAACTAAAAGAATAAATTTACTATAAATACTATAATAGAAATAAGAATAATAATATTAATCTAGAATATATTTATATCTCTTGGTTCTATTATTTACTAATAAAAGAACTTATAAACTATAAATATATTTACTAATTTAATAAAAAATAGTATAAAGAACTATTTAAGCCTAAATAAGAAAGTATTTCCTTTTTCCTTACTAGTAAGTACTAGTAGTTTAACTAAATTATTTCCTAAGTTTAAGGAAAAGAATTTAACTATAACTTAAATACTTAACCCAAAAATATCTAGAAATTAATAAGAGATATCTAGTTTACTAGATAAGAAAAAGAAAAGGGAACTAGCTAACCGGGATCTATATATAAAAGTAAGTAAGTTATATCTAGGGAATCTAAATAGCCGCTTTGCCTTAGAGGAAATTATATTAGAATTACTAATACTTTAGATTCTAGAATTAATAAATAATATTAAGATTTAGTTATAAATAGTATTTCTATTAATACTATAACGGGTTTCTTATTAAAGAAAAAGGGAAAAGAGATAGAAATAGTTAAAGAGGTTTTCCGAAAACGAGCCAGAATAGAAAAGAAGCTATTTTATATAAGAGGCTAAAAGAATATTATTTTAAGAAATAATAAATAAAGAAATAGTCTAGCTAAGAATATAGATATTAATATTTCTGGAAATAAATAGGATAAATTAGAGACCTAATATACTCTTA